AAAAAAAAAAAAAAAAAAAAAACCTTCATTTTTTTTTCTTTTCTAATGTGTATAAAAGATACACCAGGAAGAAAAAAGGTTATCATAAAATACACACAGACGGACTGAACGCAAACGACATACATATTCAAAATGTTTTTATTGAACACATCACTGACTGTTATTGCGCAATGCGCGAAACACTGCCCACGTCCCTTACGAGAGCAGTAAGGGACCCAAATTGAACGGATTCTCACGTGGGCCACAGAGCATCACAGCCAAGTTGACGACATTTTGTACGTATAGAAGTTGCAAAACTGTTTCATGAAAGAAACACCCAACCATTAAAATAAAAGAAAAAACCAAAAAAAAAAAAACACTTTTACGTTCGCTACACAGTCACACTTCGCGGCACAATAAAATAAGATCTTGTGAGGCACCAGGTAAGGAGTCAGGCAAACTGGCCAATGAAACTAACTCGTGGAGTAGTTGTACATATGGTGTAAGAAAACGCAAGTCATTTTTCCCCGGTAAGGTTGTAACTCATACTAAAGGCACTACCCGGCGCGCTCCGCCCAGTTCCCACGAACCTGTCACCCAGACTTCTGGAAGTCGTTGTCGTCATACTCCCGAAAGTCGTTGTACTTAGACTCCAGGCAGCTTCTGCCGAACTTGTCACTCAGAGTCCCGCGAATCACATGTCGACATCCACGTTTGAAATTGCTTTGCCCACTGCTGCCAGCGACTCCATTGCCTTTAATGCGTCGCTCCTCCTGATTTTTAATCCTGATGTACCCCTCTTTTCGCTTTTCCATCCCCATGCCACACTACTAAGGTGTTGCCACCCGAGCGAAGATTCGCTCTCCACTCGCCAACTTTTATTCCATGCATCTTCGTATAGCTTTGGCATATCTATGTCTTTCCCCTGTGACCTTCAATATTGCACCAGAATTGTGTCCGACTCTTCTGAAATTTCCAGAACACGTCCTACCCAGAAACTAACCCCTTTGTCTACGTGGTCGTCTGGAGCACGCAACACAACGAACCATCCAACGTCGACATGCTTTGCAGGCTCGAATTCGGGTTTCGGGGCATCCCTCTTCAAACCCACGAAACAATGTTTCCTCGGCGGCGAGTCCAATATCGCCATTAGCATGACCACATCTTTACAAAGTTCAGGCATAGGTAACGGCCAGAACTCAGTCGTCAAAGGAACGGGTTCAGAAATGTTTTCCTTTCTCATGTTCTCGAATATCTCTAACTGTGTCTCCCAATACTCAAGACGACTTGCTTTGAGCTGACGTTTCCGTTCTTCATGTATCTGAAATTGCGACTGTTCTTTCTGCCAGTCCGCTACCACATCGCTCACACCTTCGTGACCTTTGATGAAGTCCCCGTTGTTTAGGTTCACCTTTAAGGCACAAGGCTGGAATGACATCGACGGTCCTGCCCAACCCCCTTGCTCATCCCTCTTGAACCAATATATGGGCTCACCCACTGACATCCATTCGGTGGCATTGCAATGTTCTTTGTACACCATAGCAGGGTTTTTCCCATTCATATAAAACTCAAACAGTTGCGACTTGGAATGCTCGTCGATACGTTTGTCAAGAAATTCTCCCAACACCTTTCCAATCTGCCATCTCATTGATGAAAGTGCAGTTACCGTCCTCCTTTGTCGAATTCCTAAGTGCGACGAATAATTCGGGCATGGTGTAAGCATCGGTATCTGCTAGCTTCCTAGCGAACAAACTAAACTTCGCATCGATGTCTGTGCGCGTGTGACCCACTATCATAAATCTCATTTTTACGATTTCAAAAATGCGGAACTACACCAACGAAGCGAGAAACGCACATATCTGTTCTTGTTTTGACTGCTGCAGTTGTCTGCTTGGAGCCTGAAAACTGCAGGCAACCCTCCTGACTGTCTCTGCACTTCTCTCAACACCCTCGCAACGGATGAACGATGGAATCCGGACCGTGCGGGTAGACTGGAAACCATATGTGCACAATAATGTGCGGATCCCTTCCGTGCGCGAGAATGCTGGTGAGATTATTTTTCATCATTGTGCGGTTGTCAATGGCCTTGGACGTGCGGTTGCGGGCAGTGTGAGGAATGATTGTTTTTGCCTGGTCCATTCCGTCGATGATTAAACATAAGCTTTTGTCAAGCATAAACTTCAATTCTGCCGACCATATGTCATACTGTTCGCGGTGCGCCTTCTGCAACATCCTGTGGCGATTGAGTTTGGCCACGAGACCACGTCTAGCCTCGGGCATTGCCCCTTCGATAAGGTCTGTCAGTTTTGTGCAGTAATCGCATCTAGCATGATCGGTCGACCTAGCAAGGTGAACGTGCCAGAAGAAATCACGCCACATTTTTTCGAAGACCTACAGAGAACAACAGTTTATGGCTTGTTTCTTCAGGGGCCGTTGTATGCTTTCGTACACGACTGTTTTCGTTGCATACATGGAAGGCAGTCTGACTCTCGGTCTGACCTCGTAGTCTTTGTTCATATCCGATTGGTCAGGCATTGCATCACCCTCTTCCATTATCAAATTTTGGAAGGTCTGGAAAGTTATGGCATGGATGGCGGACGACGTGGAGTGACATTGCCTTCCATGAATGGGCACCACTGTACCCTCCGCATGTTGATCGTGATAGAATGCGTACGTGTTCCTTGAGAAGCCGACAATGTAGCACCACGCATGTATACAAACCCTATGTTTCTCTACAACGGGTTTGACAACCTTCTTGTCATCCTCAATACATGTGAAACTGTCAAATTGTTTAATCCACCACTTCCGTCTGTCTTCTGATGTCAATGATACATATTTCATTCTCGCCCTGAAGACCTCATCAGCAGTCATCTTCGAACAATACTGCAATTTTTTGCAGCACGTCTTCTTGAGCACGGCGGCAAAGTCCTCTATCGTACATCTGTCGAGTACGTTACCACCTGATGATTCTCTTCTTTTTTTCCTCCTCCGATAGGTGTATTTCCTCTTGCCCGTATTCGATGGCAGTTCGGTCAACAAGGACACCGGCTCACTGATGTCGTCATGTCGCATGTGGACATCGTCCTCGAAAGACACATGTGGATGACAGTTGCCATCGTCGCTTACAATTTCGTCTTGCGACATTGAGTGGACGTATGAGTCCTGCGCACTGCGGTCGTCCAGACGAGGCGCACACTTGATAGACGTCGCAGCGGACGCCGACGCGGAACTGACATGTGGGACCCCCTTGATTATATCCTCGAGCCTCAAGCGTCTGACCACCGTGTTGCAGGGGTTAGCACTACATCCAAAAATTGCACGTCTCTTTCCCGGATTAGCAATGCAACGAAATGAGGATGCCCGACCACCCTCAAATGCGTTCGATGAAGGGGACCGACTCTCGCTGTCGCACACGGTGCGTTGTGGCGTGTTCGAACAAGGATATGCATCAAATGATTGCGACCTAGCAGTGCAACTCCCCTTCTCGCTGTGCACATTTGCCGTGTGCATTGTCTCTGCAGGTCAAACATGGACAATGTCAACGGGGAGAGTGTAACCCCCTACCAACGTGCAAAGCACGTAAAAAAATCACCCAAACCCATAGCATATACAAAACATGACTCATGTTTGGAACGGTCGCCCGTCACATGTTCCGTGTCGAGGAGGACACATGACCATGTGTCAGTCCCGCCGCCGAAGCCAATCTGTGAAACAAACGCATAAACAGAATAGGCTGCATCACATGCCACTAACATGGAGGCCCTACCTAAGAAACAAAGCACAACCACAGCATTCCCCGAACGAACACCATCGCCACCATTGCGTCACCTGCCGCGGGAAACCATCACATTCTGGGCCGATCCAGGACATGGCATGGCGTGGCACGGACTCCCGACCCTCCGAGAGCGCACACGGCACCGCGCGAACACATGGTCTCATCCCTAGGACAAGGCAGGGCCATGGCATTCCTCGGCGGGGTGGCAAAAGAGGGGGACGAGGCCACACCGAACAGCGCACCGTGCGGGGTTACGGCCTGACGTCCCGGGGACGTGGGAGCATTCTTGGCTATGGCCACACAGCATGCCGGGGCATCACACACGTGGGACCCGTGGCATCGCACACGTGGGACCCACCATCATTCGGCGGCCCATGGCATCACACGTCGGGCGATGCCATCACATGGCACAACACGCTGGGCCATGCCATCACATGGCACAACACGCTGGGCCATGCCATCACACGTCAGCACATGTCGGGCCATGGCATGGCATGACATCACATACCGGGCCATGGCATGGCATGACATCACACACTGGGCCATGGCATGGCATGCCATCACATCCCGGGTCGGGGCATGCCACGACATCACATTCCGGGCCGCAGGGATCGAGGCACCGACTGTCGGGCCATGCGATCACATGCCAGGCCATGACACAACATGCCAGGGCGTGGCACAAGATCCTCCCGCCATGACATCACACATGTGGGGCCCACCATCATTCCGCGGTATGGCATGACATGACATGGCCCACGCCGGTCCATGGCATGGCATTACATCACATGCCGGGCCATGTCATGGCATGGCATCAGATGCCGGGCCATGGCACAGCATGTCGTGCCATGGCAGAACATACCGGGCCACGGCACAACACGCCGGTCCATGACACAACATGGCAGCACATGCCGGGCTATGGCATCCGCGAACGTGAGTGGGCATGGCTGGCCAAACATCACACGCGGGCCATCACATGGCAGCACACACCATGCTCCCATGATCACATGGCATGGAACAGACGGGGCCACGACCATGAGTTTGAATGCCGCGCCCCGCCTTCTCCTCCCATGATCACATGGCATGGAACAGACGGGGCCACGACACAACATGCTGGTCCATGACAGAACATGGCACCACATGCCGGGCTATGGCATCCACCGACGTGCGGGGGCATGGCTGGCCAAACACCACGCGCGGGCCATCACATGGCAGCACACACCATCACATGCCAGCACATGCCATCACAAGGCCATCACATGCCAGCACATGCCATCACATCGCATCGCATACCATCGCATGCCCGCACATGCCATCACATGCAACCACATGTCAGGCCATGAGTAGGAACGCCGCGCCCTGTCATCACGCGGATGATCACATGGCATGGTCCAGCATCACCGGGACGCCGGACCATACGGGAACACGGTCCGACGTCGCGAGGACGCCGAACCATCCTGTCCTGCTGCGGCCCAGATTCCGAGGGCATCGTGGGGCGGCGGGACCAGACTATGGTATGGCCCGGCGTCCTCACCATCCCGTTGTGTCGGTTTGCGTTGTCAGGACGACAAGGGACGGTGGACCGTATGAGAACATGGTCCAACGGGGCGGGGACGCCGAACCATCCTGTCGTGTCGCGGTCCGGCTTCTGAGGGCGTCGCGGGGACGCGGGACCATACGAGGGTGTGGTCTGGCGCCCCGAGGACGCCGGACGCCATGTCCCTGGACGTCATGCGACACGGTGGCGTGGTCCATGATGTCGTGGCTGTCCTGGGACGCAGGACCGTGTGGGTGCATGGTCTGGCATCACGGGATGCTCGACCTTCCATGTGGCCACGAGCAGGGATGAACCGGGCGATGGTCACGCGTGTCGAAAAGGTCAGGGATATTCGACAGGCCGGAAACAGGGAGCGCGAAAATAGTGAAAAATATCGAAAGATCACCAACCGTGGCGAAAAAACGTTAAACGTGTCGGAGAAGTCAGGGATATTCGACAACAGGTCCGTGGCATGGTGGAAAAGGTTGTTTGACAATGGGTCCATGCAAGCGTCAATCCGGCATTGGGGGATATCAAAGCGGGTGACAGGTGAACATTGTAAGCAAAACAAAAAAAGGGTCCAAAAAACATAACTGCTTAACAGCACAACCCATTTCTTTTCCTCGTGATGCAAATGTGTTTCTTCTGCTTAATGCATACTCGACAAAAAAGCTCGTTCGTGCCATTAAAGGTCAGCCATGCATGACCAAAGGTTCGTGCCACGGTGGGAAAGTGCTAACCCATTCGACAATAGGTCCATGCAAACCTGGATCCGGCAGCAAAAACTTTAAACATGCGATATGAGATGAGGCGATTTGGCAGGACATGAATGTAAAGCACCACAGGAAAAAGATCGGCAGATCGGCGAACAGAGATCAGCGATGGCAGGACATGAATGCAATGCACCACATGAAGAAAGATCGCCAGGTCGCCACATACGTGGTATAATAGAATACAAAAAACTATAATGGAAAGATCGGCATCACGAAAAAAAAAAAAAAAACCCCGAAGTGGTTATCAGCACAAGCCGAAAAAGGCGAAGAGCACGTGGTATTACAAGGAGCAGCACTTATGAACAAGCTGCTGAAGTAGAAATAACAAAACCCCGGAGAGACACCATGCCGGAGGAACAACATTTCTGAGAAGGCCGGGCTGGACACGTTCAAGGAAAGCAAGAAAACATTGTACTAGTACCCATGTTGTGACAGGGTCTTCTTTTTTCTCACCCGGTCGAAGCCGTGGAGGTGTGCTTGCTGAGGGTTCTTCTGTGCAGGCCGTTCTAACACGCAGAATGGAAAGGCACTGTGTTCACGGGCACACGTTAAAGCGAAACAAGCTGAGCCGCGGAAACAAACGGGTTGTATCATAGATGGCGATACAACTCTCCTCCCAAGCCACGACCTTTGGTGTGTCATCGGTCAGCAGTCTCAGGCGCTGTGTCTTAGATGGCGATACTCCTAGCAACCCAAACCACGACCTTTGCTGTGCCGTCGGTCAGCAGTGTTGCACGCGCAGGCGCTGAAAGCATGTCGCAGTGGTGAACCGAGCGGTGGTAAACCGAGCGCTGAAAGCATGTCGCAGTGGTAAACCGAGCATGTCGCAGTGGGCAAACATCACGCGCAGGCGGGCGTTGCGAGCAGGCGCATTTTTCGTGCGACGACCGTGAACACGAAATGAGGTTGGGGTGGTGAGGGGAATCGTATTTGCGGGACCCGGGCACGTTCGCCGCTGTACTGGTGGCGACCGCGATCGCAAAACATCCGGCCAATGGGGAAAAAAAAAACCCGTGGTGCCGGACCAGTTTCATCGACGACAAACACGGGCAGGTGGCAAGGCCGGCCAAAGGCGTGTTCTTTTTCGCGCTCGTGCCGTCCTGGGGAACTGCGGACCGCCGTGTTTTTTTTTCCCTCGCGTTCGTACCGGCCTGGGAAACCAGGCCACGCAAATCACCGTCGGCTTTCTCGCGCACGGGCACATCCTGGCTCGTCGCCTCGGATCGCTGGTGTGCATCGTGGCAAAGCGGCCACCATCTCCGTTGCTTGTCGTCAGCATCTTCTCCTTTGTCCAAGGGAATTCTCCACGTCGTCGTCATCATCTACAGCGACCGGCAGACCTCGTCGTGCGAATTGGCGACATTGCTCCACCAGTCCGATATGGCGGGCAAACGTAGGTTGGTCCTTCTCCTCTTCTCCTTGTTTTGCCTTTTTTTTCTTTTTTTTTCGTTGATGTATTGGATCCCCTCCCTCCACCAGTCCGACGGCGGTGCTCTCCTGTATACCGAGGCTCATTTTATTTTTTTTTGGTTGGTTGACGTATTGGATATCGCCCTTCATTCCCCCTCATTCCTCTCCTCCTCCTCCTCCCTCCTCATTTCCCTCCTCCACTCCCTTCATTCCCCTCCCATAGCCGATCTTTCTCCTCCTCCACTCCCTTCATTCCCCTCCCATGGCCGATCTTTCTCCTCCTCCACTCCCCTCATTCCCCTCCACCCACTCCCTTCATTCCCCCTCATTCCCCTCCTCCTCTTCCTCCTCATTCCCCTCCTTCACTCCCTTGATTCCCCTCCCATAGCCGATCTTTCTCCTCCTCCA